GCCATCACTATCGGCAATCGATATTGTGCGAATACTATCCTTATACTATATTTTGATGCCTGCGTCGTCAGGTCGACAAGTCGAATGAGCTCCGCACTCATTGAAGTGAAAGTGGAAAAACGAAGGAAGCAGTTTTCGAGTCATTCATTGCGTCAATTGAAACAAGTCGTTGCTTCAAATGAAATGAACTGAAGCACTTGACGAACGAAACAAGTGATAGTCCAGTCATGTTTTAAAAGAGAAATGTTCACGAAAATGTTATGGCTCGAAATGAAGCGATTCTGCGGAGAGTCCATTTTCTTTCCTTTGTTTCGAAAATGCAGAATCCTGGTGCCTACCTTGTTTCATCGACCGAATAGCCTCAATCGAACAGAGGCTATTCCATCGACTTTCTCTTTGGTTTACCACGGCAACATGAACGAATTTCTCGCTAAGCTCGCAGCACAGTTCGACAGAATATGTTACTAGCTTGCGCCTGAAACAACACACTCAATGGGAAATTCGTGTCAAGCTGAATATTGCATTAGGTCCTAAGTAACATTGGTAGATTCTCTTCGTCGACTTTCTCTTTGAATCCCCACGGCCAATTAAAAACATTCCCAGGTGTTTTTCTGCACACAGATCGATAAAATAAATTGTTATCTAGCATCTAATACTATAAATACAACAAGAAACAGTTATGTGCTCAAGTTATTAACGAAAGAGAAAGTCGACAAAGAGAATCGATCAATGCTACTTAGGACCTAATGCAATGTTCAGCTTGATTTTCGCGAAAGAGAAAACCGATGAAGATAATCGTTCAAGAATGATCTCGTGTTGCACGAAAACTCGACTGTGAGCATGCATAAGGGCGTGAACGCGATGATCGATTTTCTTCGTCGATTTTCTGTTTTGTTAATATTGTGTGTGGCAGGATAACTTCTCAAAATGCGATTATACCAACAATCAATACGAAACTAACGATTTTATATTGGCTCACTACTTGACTAGCCTATTGGTCCCAAGCAAACGATTAACGTACCCCATTCCAGTTGAAATTCTAGTACTACTTAATGTTTGTTTTGATTCGCTATGCAAGTTTGACAGATAAAATGAGGGGTTAGTGGATTTTTCTATGTTTCGAGGGGTGAATCAATTAGCTTGGGACCGAAGAGAGTACCAGAGCTGAGCCAAAAAGTTGAACACGTTTCTTAAGGACCTTCTAGTCTTAGAGTTACCTCTATGATTATACCATCTGTTTTTTGTTTATGGACGAACGACCATAGAGGTAACTTTAAGACCAGAAACCTAGAAACGTGCTCAACTTTATGGCTCAGCTCTGATACCCTCTTTGGTCCCAAGCTAATCGATGCACCCCTCGAAACATAGGAAAATCCTCGAATCCCTCATTTCATCTGTCAAAATTTCATAGCGAATCAAAACAAGCATTTGTAGTACTAGAATTTCAACTAGAATGGGGTACGTTAATCGATTTGTTTGCGACCAATAGGCTAGTCAAGTAGTGAGCCAATTTAAAATCGTTAGTTTCCACCGGTTGCTACAACTCTGCATTGAACAAATTCTAGAAAATTGTTTCGCTTAGCTGTAGCAATGCAAAGAGAAAATCGATGAAGAGAATCGATCATCGCGTATATGCCGTTATGCATGCTTACTGTCGAACTGTCATCCGATTGAAGTTAACCCCGACGGTGCAAAACCTTACGGGACACCCCTTTTGGCTGTTGAATCATTTGCCAAATATGACAAAGGGTAAATGTAGCTGACGAAATTCTTGATACAATGGTGTCATTATCTATTTTTTTGCTACTTAGTCCCCTCTGACTTAACGCCGACCAAATGATGGCCATAAATACGCATTTCTACATATACATATAAACAGATAACGGATATGTCAGGTTCATAATACCTTGGACTTCGTTCAATTAGCAAAGCAGTTAATTAAATAACGAAACCATAAATTTTCGGATAATCCCAGAGAGTAATCAAAGTCCGAATAAATGCGTTCATTAGATTAACATTTCGATAATCTCTCTGACTGGCTGACTAACTTCCGTAACGGGTTGCATCAGCCACGATTGTGGGTGTGTACTCAACCCAAGACTCTGATGCGATAAGAAAGTAAAATATGTCATTTTGAAGACATTTTGGTTCAAAATTTCGGTGTTTTTTACATTTCATAATCGGTTCTTCACTTGCCTCAGTCCGCCTACGTCATTGGTAAACGCGTTTTTTATCATTTTGTTGCACATATTTTGTAGTTATGTCATTGCTGATACGGATACCACATGGCACTGGAATACCCCGAAGGCTGTTCTGAAAAATGGGCTCGCTGTCCAATTGGAAAACTTTGCCTGAAATGATGAAACTTCCATCAACAATTAAGGAACCCTGTTCACGCATTTCTCAGACATGTGACACAGGGTGAACCAATTTAACCCCCCCTCAAGGGACAAGCCAATTGCCTATCAAAACTCAATTGCCTCCCAAAATACAATATTAAATTTAACTCGATTGAGCCAATCCAAATGCCGATACGGGTGAGAATGATTTCGCCAGGAAGGGAAAAAAACAACTTCAAAAGAAAACAACATTCCACCGCATCACGCGATCAAACTTATCACTTTGTATTCCTCCAAGCCTAGTGGTTACGAAAAATAAAAATATGCCGCGATAGCGCCATTGATATTTAAAACAACAACCAACTAGAAGCAGACGGCATAGCAAGCGTTCAAAGTCAAAAAATATCCCAATTTCGCAATCCGAAGCTGTCAATCACACACCCGCTGCGATGAGGTACTAGATTATAGTGTTCCTACCCGCCCGCGCCAGCAGGCTCAGGCGTTCAGGTCAAGTTGATCTTTGTTGAGCCATTCGGCGCAAACATGTAAACAACAGCAATGGCTGCTTCGGGAGACAACCTTGTGGTCTTTTGGAGCGAATCATGCAATTATTAATTCACCGGTTTCAAAATCGTCGATCTGCGTCTGTCAGCATGACAGCGTGCCATGCCAGAGACCGGGTCAACGAGCCCGAGTTTTGCGTTTTTTTTTTATTTGTCTTGCCAACGCTGATTTGGCAAATCGATGTAGGCGATTGAGAATAGAGCACTGCACGCATAACCTCACTTTTCGCCGTCCTTTTATTCTCCGTTCTCCATGAGAGTAAAAGAAATAGCAACGAATGGGGACCAAAACAAACCCGGCAGAACTGTAAAAATTCACGGGTGAGAAAAGGAGACGAGGAGATTTAGGTAAGGTTTCGCGTTAGTTCGGGTAAATGACTTCTTTATCTACTGTCGAATTTCCCACGTTGGGCTATCTTTAAGCTGTAGCCCACCTAAATCGAAGTCCAACGTCATTTCGGACAGTGCTGATTCTTTTTTGATTAATAATTTGGATAGTTACTAAGCAATTTAAACAAGTCTTTCACTAAGTGGGCTATGGGTTTAGCCCAACGATCTAAAGTTGACTATATTTGGGATCCGCCAGACTATGAATATAGTGACTATAGTTAGCCTAACCCCCCCGTCGTCCCCCCGTCGTAATAATAACAACAATGTGCCAAGCAATCTCATTTATATTTATGAAATCGTCTCCCCCCTCACCATGGCGACGGCGAAGACGACGATGAGCTATTGGCAAATCAAAGTTGGCGCTCGTGGAGAATAGAAGAACTATAAAAGTGATGATGGTTTCAAAATTTTCCACGGGGAAGTATACGAGTGCAATCTTAAAATGCTTTTATTTTGCAAATGGAACATTTTATTTAAATCTGGTTGCTGCTACAGTGGTAGAAAAGCTCAAATCTATGTGTACAGCTAAAAATCTGAAAAGAAATGAATTTTTCTATATTATTTGTCTATTGAGTAGTCCTTAAGTTTTCTACTAACATAGCACCAACCAGATTTAAATAAAATGTTCCATTTGCAAAATAAAAGCATTTTAAGATTCCACTCGTATACTTCCCCGTGGAAAATTTTGAAACCATCATCACTTTTATAGTTCTTCTATTCTCCACGAGTACCAACTTTGATTTGCCAATATACTCAGCTCAGCAAGGGGCATGATGGTGATGCGTTGTTGAATTGCCGATGCGCTTTGCCGGCTGTCTGTCGGTCAATATTTGATCGGTGATTGAAATGGTGCTGTGAACGGTTCCAACCTACACCAGCCCATTGAAGCAGTTGGCCATTGTCATGTAGCATCGTACAAACCCACAGGGTTTCACCATAATCAATTCGGTAAACATTGAAGGTTATCGAGCCTAGTGTTATCATCCATATTCATATATGCGAAACGATGTGACATCTGTCAATCCGATGCAAGCAATCGAATGCTCGATTGCTTTGTTGGACGAATTCATTCTGCAAATCACAGCGATCATAATCGAGTGATAATTATAATGATCCACAGTCAGTAAAAGAATCGTGGGTAAACCTAGTCTTTCCGCAAATACACGGCTGTTAACCTTTAATTAAGTCAGTAAACCGGCGAGGCTTGTTGTTTCCGAGCCAGTAGGTGTGGTGATGACCTCCACGGAACGCGTTGAGAGGCGAGGGAGGCATCTTTTGCTCGTGCCGTGTCATTACCGTTACAGCAAGTGAGGCGGAAATCGAATGTAAACAAACGGTTGAGGCAACTATTAATAATATACGAATGCAATGCCAACGGGTGTCTAGAGCACAACAATTTGCTTCTAATAAAGTATTTTGTAGTGTCGGGGCTTTGTTCGGGATGAGTTGCAAATGTTGTTAGCTTTCTATTAGATTTGAATCAGAGGAAACTCAACTTCTCGACCTGTTAATCAAATAAAGTACAAGAGCGGAAATGTCATCCCAAGCAATTATGTAGTAACTCAGTAGGCGTTGCAATTAATTCCATCTCACCCACACCAACGTCATCATCGTAATTTTTCATCGTTACACACGTTTCTCGCCACGTTTGACGGTCCTTCTAGACGGAAACTAACCTAGCAAATTTCCAACCTCTTTCCTTTCACAGCGGATGGCATGACGTACTCTTTCGGCATCTTCTACGTCGAGTTCCTGGAATACTTCAAGGAGGGCAAAGGCTACACGGCATGGATTGCTTCGATTCTGGTTGGCGTGACACTTTGCTCCGGTAAGTATTTTTTTTTCAGCGCGAGGTCAAGGCCGGATATAAAACTGACAGCCGACTACAGATGGAGCCGTGCTTCAGAACAATGTAAACAAAGCTGGTATCGATTTCCACTTGGCTTTCTTCTGTTGTATTTGCCGGAGAGATTTGCAGTCATTCTTCTCGATACTTGGATGGTCTCTTGTTTGGGTTGCACATTGCATGAAGTCTGATTTTCCCTGGGAAAAAGGGGGGAATAAATCACCACTTGTAGGAGCTTTTGTTCTCGCTTTCTTGGTAGCATCCCTATAGAAGGGACAGGGATTGTGCAGTTGAGTAGCTCTTGAGGACTTGCCGTTGAATCATTGGTATGTGTGAGAAATAATTAGCAATTAAAAACAGTAAAGACTTCAGAGAATGGCATTCTGTTATTGGTTTTTACGTGATTTCTCGATTACTTTTTCGAAGGGACGTATCAACTTTGTAAACAATGCATTTGATCGTCGGTTTGGCGTAACTGGTAGCTCGCACATGCATACTAAAACCACTATCAGATGGGGGAAAATTTCTCGAGATTTACTCAACTGTTTAGTCAACTAGATTGCAACCTCTCCTGTCAACGTGAGGAACAATTGTACAGAAATTATATTTATTATGTCGAAGAAGAACTCTTGATTCAGGAATTCTCTGAATCCCGCTTTAGCCTTAGGGGTTCTCTAAGTCCTGCTTTAGCTTTAGGGATTCTATAAATCCTGCTTGAGCTATAGGGTTTCTCTGAATCTCGCATAAGGGATTCTATCCCACTTGGGAGGTTTATTGATTCCCTCTTTAGGTATCCTTTGTATCCAGCTAAAGGGATTCTCTGGATACTTTGATTCCCGATTCATGGGTTTTCCGAATACCACTTGTGGAATTATCTGAATTGGATTGCATTTCTTTATTTAAGGTGGAATGTTCAAAATTCAGCTTTAGGGATTCTCTAAATCCAGCTGTTAAACCTCTTCGGGGGTTCGATTCAGGGTTTCTCTGCGATCCTTAGAACACAGATTAAGAGATTCTTTGAATCAAGCATCTAAGATGCTTTGAACCCCACTTCAGGGATTCTCAAAATTTGTCTAACCATGCTTCAGAAATCCTCTAAATCTTGCTTCAGAAATTCTTACATCTTGCTTCAGAGGCTTTATGAACTCCGACTGTGGAATTCTTCGAATCGGACCTCATGGATTCTCCTGCTAGAGAAGTCTTTTGAATCCCACTTAAAGTATTTTTGATTCCCGCTTGAGAACCTCTCTAAATCCCACTTCAGGGATTCTTTCCGAATCCTGCTTAAGGTAATATCCGAATCCTGCTTCAGGGATTCTGTGCGAAACCTGCATCAGAGATTTTCCGAATCCTGCATCAGAGATTCTTGAAATCCTGTTTGAGGAATAGCCCGAATTTCGCTTTAGGGATTCTCGGAATCCCACTTTAAAGCAGATCCACGCCAAATGACGAATCAGAAAACTTGACCTTCTCCGATTTGCTCAAAACTCAAAATGACGTTTTTGTGCAGCAATTTATTAAAAAACGTCATAGATGCCATTTTGAAGGAAAAAAAAATTACAATATCCAAATTGGCCGAATTTTTGTAAAATTGTGAATGTTTACCCATAACACACTCAAAGTTTTATGAAAATCGAAGAAGGTCAAAGTCAAAATTTTAATAATTTTTTATCCTATTGCCTGGAACTGCTCTTCACGAATTTTCCGAATCCCGCTTTAACGCGTCTCCGAATCCCGCTTCAGGCATTCTCCGAATCCCGCTTCAGGGATTCTCCGAATCCCGCTTCAAGGATTCTCCGAATCCCACTTCAGACATTCTCCGAATCCCGCTTCAAGGATTCTCCGAATCCCGCTTCAAGGATTCTCCGAATCCCGCTTCAAGGATTCTCCGAATCCCACTTCAGACATTCTCCAAATCCCGCTTCAGGGATTCTCCGAATCCCGCTTCAGGGATTCTCCGAATCCCGCTTCAGGGATTCTCCGAATCCCGCTTCAGGGATTCTCCGAATCCCGCTTCAGGGATTCTCCGAATCCCGCTTCAGGGATTCTCCGAATCCCGCTTCAGGGATTCTCCGAATCCCGCTTCAGGGATTCTCCGAATCCCGCTTCAGGGATTCTCCGAATCCCGCTTCAGACATTCATCGAATCCCGCTTCAGACATTCATCGAATCCCGCTTCAGACATTCATCGAATCCCGCTTCAGACATTCATCGAATCCCGCTTCAGGGATTCTCCGAATCCCGCTTCAGGGATTCTCCGAATCCCGCTTCAGGGATTCTCCGAATCCCGCTTCAGGGATTCTCCGAATCCCGCTTCAGGGATTCTCCGAATCCCACTTCAGGGATTCTCCGAATCCCGCTTCAGGGATTCTCCGAATCCCGCTTCAGGGATTCTCCGAATCCCGCTTCAGGGATTCTCCGAATCCCGCTTCAGGGATTCTCCGAATCCCGCTTCAGGGATTCTCCGAATCCCGCTTCAGGGATTCTCCGAATCCCGCTTCAGGGATTCTCCGAATCCCGCTTCAGGGATTCTCCGAATCCCGCTTCAGACATTCTCCGAATCCCGCTTCAGACATTCTCCGAATCCCGCTTCAGACATTCTCCGAATCCCGCTTCAGACATTCTCCGAATCCCGCTTCAGACATTCTCCGAATCCCGCTTCAGACATTCTCCGAATCCCGCTTCAGACATTCTCCGAATCCCGCTTCAGGGATTCTCCGAATCCCGCTTCAGGGATTCTCCGAATCCCGCTTCAGGGATTCTCCGAATCCCGCTTCAGACATTCTCCGAATCCCGCTTCAGACATTCTCCGAATCCCACTTCAGACATTCTCCGAATCCCGTTCGTTCCAGACTTTCGATGCATGCGGTTAAACAGTTGTCCCCAAATTAACCAACTCCCCTCATTCCAGGTCCTATATCGTCGTCCCTGGTGAACCGATTTGGCTGTAGGGCGGTCACCATCGCTGGTTCGGTGCTGGCTTCCATCTGCCTGGCCATCAGCGTATACGCCACCAGTGTGTTCATGTTGTTCGTCACCATCGGGCTCGGCACCGGGATGGGGCTTGGACTGATCTACCTACCGGCCATCGTCAGCGTAACGATGTACTTCGAAAGACTGAGATCCCTGGCTACCGGTATTGCCGTGTGCGGTTCCGGTTTGGGAACGTTCATCTTCGCACCCGTGACGGACATTCTGATCAAAAGTCTGGGCTGGCAGGGAGCGCTACTGGTCATGGCCGGGATCGTCTTGGGCTGCTGTCTGTTTGGAGCCATGTTCCGACCGTTAGTTGCCGAGCCGAGGGAGATCGAGATGATGGCCAAGAGCGAGATGCAACATTCCATTGCAGGTATGTTCAGTTGAAGGTTTGTTTCTTGAATGAAGTTTATTTAACGATGTTTCATTCTAGAATCGAACGGTAAGCTATATGGGAACGCGGGCGACGAGGATCAGAACATCGTACGATCGCATAGCTTCGGAAACTCGCCGAAAATAGCACTGAACTCGGTAAGCTCTCCATGAACACCCATTTCTGAAATCATCTAATTGGTTGTTTTCCGCAGAACGGTCACTCTGCAAGCGGTCACAGCCTGCACATTAAGCCGACCCATGGTGAGGACAGTATTCGCCTGGCATTGAGTCAACCACTTCTGGCGCAACAACCTCCAACCTACGATCAAGCTCACCCAGCTACCATAGGATCTACCACGATTCGGCGAGCGGGAAGTGGTACCATGTACCGCAAGGATGCCCTATATACCGGTTCGTTGCACAACATGTCCTCCCGGCACGCTTCCCACGCTAGTCTAGCTATGCACGAGAAGGGAGGCTATGGCTCTCTGCAAGGAAACAGTAATGCCCTCGACGCAGACGAACAGGCCGTCTGCTGTGGATGCATTCCCTGCTCCAAGGAAACCTCCGATACCTTCCGGGAGATGATGAACTTCTCGATCCTCAAGGATCCAATCTTCATCGTTTTCACCGCGTCCAACTTCCTGACGAGCATCGGCTTCAACGTTCCGTACGTCTATCTGGCGGCACAAGCCAGCGTTCTGCAGATCGATACCAAACAGGCCAGCTACCTGCTCGGAATCATCGGTATCGCCAATACTGTTGGCCGTATCATCCTCGGCTACCTGTCCGATAAGCCGTGGGTCAACCGACTACTGGTCTACAACCTAATGCTCACCATCTGTGGTATTGGTAAGATCTGCAAGCAACTTTCATCTGATCAACAACTAATCAAGCACTAATTTCCGCAGCAACTGCCTCCTCCGTATTGTGCCTCGACTTCTACAGCCTTGCGATCTACTCCGCAATTTTCGGTTTCACAATCGGTGCCTATGTCGGTCTGACCTCGGTCATCCTGGTGGATCTGCTCGGTCTGGACAAACTTACGAACGCCTTTGGATTGCTGCTGCTATTCCAGGGTATCGCCTCCTTCATCGGACCTCCGATGGCCGGTACGAGTTTTTCGAACAACTTTACTCTTGAACATCCTATTAAATCTTGTTGTTGTTTTCTCAGGTTGGCTGTACGACATCACCCTCTCGTACAGTCCGGGCTTCATCCTCGCCGGCTCGACGATTGCCGCCTCCGGTGTTATGCTGTTTGCGATTCCACCAATGCAGCGACACCTAGCGCGGAAACAAGCATCCGCCATGGTGGTGACGAGCGTTGGACAAGCGCAGGAAAGCTGAAGTTGCTCAAGCCGCCCAGCTCGGGAACTGCGCCACAGGATAGCACTGACAGAAGGTTATCAAACTTTGACGTTTTTGCTTTATGTTTTTTTGTAGGACACAAACAGGGACTGAAGATGACCAAGTGCAGACTTCTTGTGATAGCTAAATATTGAGTTTTAGGTTGAAAGTTTTTAAGAGCATCCTCAAGGGGGCCATCTAATTTTAACAGTACCAAAGTAGCTTCTTTAAGCAATACAGTTAATTAAATCCATATAGGCTTAAGAAGGCTATTAGTGAAATTCAAAACAACACACAAAGGAAAATCCATTAACATATCTAGGTAAATCTTAGGTAAATACAAATTAGGTAGACAAATGAGGTGCCAGCAAAGAGAGATGTCGAAACGAGTGCGTGCCGCGGGAGGAATCCCCAATTTTTTCGAGGGACCACTTCGAATGGAGGAACAATACAATCTAGCGATTGAAGATTAGTTAAATACGTAACTATTTAGGCTAACGTGATTGAATTTGAGAATGATGAACGGGGAAATTTTACAGCGAATTTAGAGCGCGAACAAACAAAAAATAGAGAATCGTGCTGCATGAAGAATGAGTATTTGCTAAAGTGTTTCGTTCAAATTGTTTATTTGCTAAAGTTTTTTTTTAATATTGCCATGAAGCTCTTCCAAGATGCCGTTACACTATGATGAGAATTTCGAGTTACTGTTGAGTTAAATTTTATGAAATAATATAAAATTCTACATTAATTCGAGTCGGAGCATGCCTACCGATAGCAAATATCACTGACCATCCGGGAAGACTTTGAAAGCACTATCAATTAGTTGGGGCTGTTTACGCGAGAAAGTTTCCATCAACTTCTTATTCAAGGGCCTCCTGCGTCGGTTGCTGTGCGAAACAGCCATGCAAAAATAAAAATAAACAAATTTGAAAATTACCTGTCAGTCAACGTTTTGGGGACATCAGGAAGTATAGCGTCCGCTAATGTTTATTGTCAGCTTGTCGGCTCGTCAAGGTTTACAATTTGTTAACAATTCACCGAAAACATCGCTTGTTCATCTCGTGACCTTCACCTACAAGTCAACCAGCTTGAACTTCAGACGGGAGCGACGATCTGAATGTCATTTCCAGCAGGGATAACATCGAGATAGTTGGTTTCCAGCCTCGGCCACCGCTACATGAATTAATGATGCAGCTTCTACGGCTGCGGCTGCTTCCAAATCCTGCTGCTATTGTTGCTGCTGTTCATTCTGCACGTCTGTCTCCTCCAAAATTCGTTACAAGAATGCCGTCAACGAGACTTTGCCTTTAAATGATCTTTATTTCTTGTATTTGTGTGGTTTACATGTATGAATTTTCAAGTGACACAGATGCGTCTCTTCAACTTGAGATTTTAATTATTATTTACAGTTCCTAGTCCTATCAGATATATTTTAAAGTATGACCACCTTGGTGGGATTGGTTTGATTTGAATTGGAAAAAGGAGACTACTTATAATTACTATTTACAACTACAACTAACCTACAACTACTATATACATATACCTAACCTACTGTTGGGGGAAGTATTTCGGTATCGTGGTCAAAAACACCTCTTTGCTAGCAGTGCGGTTGGCGCAGCTTCAAAGCTGGAATTTTATTATTTGTGTTAGCTTTAGCTTGGTTATTGATAGAAAAACTCACATTTTGGTATTTTCACGAACCCTATACGTTAGCTTTCTTCCACTACTTCCCACGTACGAATCTGTTTCCAACAATGATTAAATTAAATAGATACACTTCATTTTACATTTCAGCAGTTACCTTTTCGATACAATAGTTTTATAAATTTAACCTTCATTTTCATTAAATTTCACAACTTTTCGATTTGGAAAATCTTATTTCTTTTCACAATTAATTTACTTTGTTTGTGATCTTCAGTCTCTCTTTCCTTCCGTTCCAATCATCATTATACTTGACAGATAATCCGCTGCCACTTATACTCGACCGCACAAATCGCAAAGGGTGTAACCGGGACTCACTTGATTGCCGGCGGAGACTGCCCAGTGGGTTCGCCAACATTCCCACGCCCGTGTAGTTCCGGTTCACTCGAACACTTCTCTTCCGATTTTTCAGGCATTTCACGTACTTCCAGCAACGCCAACTTGGTTGCTGGTCGACTAACCATTCCCCGGGAAGTGTGCACTACTGCTCTGCGAACTTGCCCATCCTTTCCTGCCACGACATCCAGAATTCGCCCTCGAAGCCATCCGTTGCGCTTGCCTTCATCGACACAACCACTAAGTCACCTGGCTTCAACGGTTTTACTGGCTGGAACCATTTGGTGCGGCGTGTTAGCGTAGGTAGGTATTCGTGTAACCAGCGGCTCCAGAACATATCAGCCAGGTACTGCGAAAGCTTCCAGCTGTCCCTCAGAGTTGCATACTCGTGCTGTAGGTCCCGACTAGGTTGGTTGATGCCTTGTGTCCCGTAGAGCAGGAAATGGTTCGGTGTGAGGGCCTCTTGATCCGCATGATCCAAAGCGATGTAAGTTAGCGGTCTTGAGTTGACTATCGACTCGGCTTCGAGCGCAACAGTCTCCAGGACCTCATCACTGGGGTGGTGTGGATGATCTGCGATCGCCGCCATTGCCACCTTATCCAACTTGACCATGCGCTCCCACGGTCCTCTTATGTGTGGCGTTAGGGGTGGATTGAATAGCCATCTCGTGCTCACGTTCTTTAAGGTTACAGCGCAATGCTCCGTGATTGCCTTGAGCTGCTCCTTAAGCAAGTTCCTCGCCCCTACGAAGTTGGTTCCATTGTCTGAATAGAACGTTGCTGGTGAACCCCTGCGTGCCACAAACCTTCTAATGGCCATCACGCACGACTGGGTGGACAGGCTGTGGACGATCTCGAGATGCACTGCTCTGATTGACAGGCACGTGAAGAGCGCTACCCAACGCTTGACCGTGCTTCGTCCTTGTTTTATGAAGACGGGACCGAAGTAGTCCACCCCAGTGTGTGTGAATGGTCGTATAAAGGCAGTCAGCCGGATCTCAGGAAGAGGTGCCATGATCGGTGCCCTTGGGACTGCCTTCTGAACACGACAATGCTGACACTGCTTAACTACCTTCGCAACCACCGAGCGAAGTTGGGGAATCCGAAACCGCTGTCTTATCTCGTTGACTACCGTTTCGTGGTTTCCATGTAGAAAACGAACATGATAACATTCTACGAGCAATTCCATCACCCGCTGACCTTTGGGGAGGTAGATCGGAAATCTCGCATCCTTGGTTACCATCGGTGCTGCAGCGATACGGCTATTCATCCGAAGAACTCAATCGTCGTCCAGCATCGGACTCAACTTGTACAATGCACTCGATCTTGCGATCTGCTTCGGTTCCGCGTCTGGGTGCTCATTGTTGTAGCTAAGCGTGACGTATTCATCCGCATATGCATGTTTTTGCACCTGCTGAAAGATCATGGCTTCGGCCTTCAGCAGCTCTTCTTGCGTACGTGGGCCCTCAGCGTTCAGGCCTAGAAACACCTTCGTCGCTCTAGCAACGTATCCGGTCATCCGTTGAAGCCTCAACCACTTCGAGAATCGATGAACATCTATGATCAGTGGCGATATGACTCGATGATGTAGAAAGACTGCTCGCAGTTCCTCTGCTGTCGAATACTCCTCCGAATTTTCCTTTCGCCAGCTCTCGTCCGGTTCCATCAGGAAAGCCGGCCCTACATACCACCAGTCGTTGTGTCTAAAACTGGGTCCGTCTCTCCACTTCGTCGCTTGATCCGCTACATTTACCTTCGATTGAACCTTTCTCCATTCATCAACGGTAGTCGTACTCAGAATTTCTCCTACTCGGAAGCCGACGAATTGATGATATCGTCGAGTCTCGGACTTCAGCCAAGCGAGAACGGTTGTCGAGTCTGACCAGAGGAATCGAGCGGCCACTGGCAATGTCAGCGCCTTACAAACGCTGTCCAGCAGTCGTGAGCCGATTAAAGCTGCTTGCAACGGTGCTACCTTTGTCTTCGCAGCTATCAGTGTGCATTGAGGTTCCCATTACTCGTGCTCCGAAGATACGCTACGCATGCGTACGCGTTCTCGCTCGCATCGACAAAGACATGAATTTGCGTATCTTTCGGTGTGCATGAGTATCTTCCCGTGAACCGAGAAGTGTGCCACCATCCCTAATGGATCAAACAGAGACATGATCGTTCGTAGGACTTGACGTTTTGTAGGTGCATCCTGACTCTCCACAATGTTTCGAACCTCCTCCTTCAGACTGATCTCGAAACTGAAAACGTCTTCTGATGGTCTCCATACCATACCAAGTACTCTCTCTACATCCGAATCCAGGTTGAGGGACTTCTGCTGAACTTTGCTGGTTTCTCCTATGCGCTCGAGCACTTCTGAGGAGTTCGACGAAAGGTTTCGAATCTCCATCCCAGCCTTGGAATGCACATGTTTCACTTCCTCTATCAGCTCTACCGCTTTCTCTACCGTATCCACACTATCCAGATAGTCGTCAACGTAATGGTTTTCGATGATGGCCCTGGCTGCATCTGGGAATTGGTCCGCGTACTCCTTTGCATTCCTGTTTTTCAGATACTGTGCGAAGCACGGTGAGCACGCTGCGCCAAATGTGGCAACATCCATCACGAAAATCTGCGGTGGCTGCCCTGGACACTCTGGGAATACGAACCTCTGTGCCTGTTTATCCCTTTTCCGGATCAGCAATTGGTGGAACATTTCTTTTATGTCTCCACTGAATGCCACGCGCTTCTGCCGGAAACGCAGTAGAACGGTAGGTAGAGCAGTCAGCATGTCTGGCTCTTTTAGCATTAGATCGTTGAAAGAAACGCCATTCACTCGGGCTGCAGCATCACAAATCAATCGTATCTTTCCTGCTATATTTGGGTTCCTTACTACCCCAAGTGGTAGATACCAGACGTGACCAGGTTCCGTAGACTCCAGTTCAGCTGCAGTTATCCGATGAGTGTACCCCTTTTCGAGATACTCTGCGATCTGTCCCCTTACCTTCCCATCGAGGTAGGAATCCTTGGACAACTTCCTTTCGAGCGCTTCCATTCTACGCACTGCCATTGGGTAGCTATTTGGAAGACACGGATCAT